GTCCCTTTTCAGCGTAAATGAACAACGCAGAGCTAACTCGATCAGTGCTAAGTGAGCACTGAGCATGGCACTGATGCAGCGCTGGCTCTATCCTAGCGCTGCGTTAATCTGTGAAACGGCCTTTACAGACTTGGCGGGAAGGCTATTTCTGAACAGCGAAGTGCCAACGATTCATTTCGTCTGTTCATTGCTCTCGCCTTATTGAACCACAGACATAGTACTTTTTAACCCATTGCCATCGTTTGGCTTCCCCTTTACATCTTTAGAAAAACCTCCCGAACCTCGGTAAGCATGGCGGCTCGCATTGTGAACGGAGTGATACAATCGCCTTTTCCGAACTTTGACGTTGGGAACAACTGTGTTTCTGAACTCATAGAAGGACGCTTGAAGAAGCTATTAAACAGTGTGATCATTGTCAGTTTGCTTTTCACCGATAAATATCTGCGCGATTACGAAGGAAGTGTTGCATAATTCTAGGAACATAGCCTATTATAATTCCATACTCTATGTCAGGGGCGGCCAGGCTCACCCGGCCTAAGAGCCGCAAACAAAAGCACGAAACTTCCAAGAGCCGCGGGGGGGGGGGGGGGGGGGGGGGAAACCTTTGTCCACAGCAATATACGAAACTGGAACTACTTTCAATCTCTGCGAGTCAAAAGCAGTCCAATTATGCGTAAGGTAGCAGTAGCACAGGACTACCAAACCGCAACCAGCCTTTCTATTTAAGACGCGTTCCATGTTTTTTATTTATTTATTTATTTTTTTGGAGGGGGGGGGGGGGGGGTAGGAGAGGAAGCCGCGAGCCGCACCTTAGCAAGCGAAGAGCCGCATGCGGCTCGCGAGCCGCAGCTTGGCCACCCCTGCTCTATGTGATAATGATGAGAATCTCCAAAATTTTGCCCGGAATGTGCGCGATAAATCCGCTATTAACAGAATTGCAACACGTACGTTCCGTGTTGCGTAGGCGTAAACGCTACAGCGATAAGATCAACCATTTTTAGCCTGTGCCTACGTGACAGCGGTGAGATAACACGTCTGTTCTTTCTGAACGTTATGTCGGGCTGGCGTCCGCGCCTAACACCTGGTTGATTTATTGAAGGCCCAGTGGCATTCAGCGGTCTTCTATTATTAGAGTCGAGTTCATAAACTACGGGCTGAACGCGTTCGCTTCGAGTGCGGCGCAACAGCAACCCTTCTGACGCCACGCGCAGAGCGAACGCCGACCGGCGAAATTCGTTTATATTTTTTTTGCTCAATTGAGTTTAGTTTTAAACAAGAAAAGTAGCGTGACGCGTCTAACGAAAGACAAAAAGCAGCTATAATAGGAAGAAACTTAATTTCGTTTAAAAGCCCAGCAGTGTACCTTATATCGCCGCTGCGTATATAAGACCATAGAATTATTATAACGTACGCTAGAGGTTCAACTGGCGCTAGTGTCTATGCGGCTTTCGGGAGGCAAATTGAAGCAGACAGCAAGCAGTCTATTTTTGCGATGTTTCTGTGCATTCCTATGGGAAAACGCGCGTGAAATTGGTCTCTTCGCCGGAAAATAACATTTATTATTTCGGTTGTACCGGATAGTGTGTACATATATTAATATTGTAAAAGTGTAATTGCTTTAATTACAGCATTTGTCTTTGCCACTGAACGATGTTAAGCTTCGCCATATATCAGGCCCAAACGTATGTTCCATGGCAGGTATGTAAAAACGAGCGACGATCCTGAGCAAACTAACAATCGAAAAGAATGTAGAGAGTGTGTTCAAAGTTCTCTTGCATTTCGGTCAGGCACGTAGCCAGGGGGGGGGGGGGGGGGGGGCGCCATAGGGACCGGGCCTCCCCCGAAATCTTCCGTTTTGCTGGGACCTCCTCTCCCCTCTCCTCCTCATACGGCATTTTGTCATGGGCGTCGCCCCCCCCCCCCCCCCCCCCCCCTCCGAAACAAAATTCTGGCTACGGGCCTGATTGCAGTGGCGCTTATATATTGCTAATATGCCTGTCCTGTTACTCTATGAAAACGACGTCGTGCATCTTTATGACGGTTAAAAAACACTCGAATACAAGAAATAAGGTGCGTGGACTACGAGAGGTCTGTCTTTTCATTATTTCCTATGTCGGGCAGTTTTCATCGGGCATCTGTTCTCTGACTTCTTCCTATTTGCAAAGATTTGAAGCGTACGGTTGATGATTTGAACCCACAACATACATCTTGCACATATTCATGAACAGAAAGAATAGAGCAGTACTTACTTATTGCAAATTGAACTATATTACGTGGCTTTCAATTTATTTTGGTCGCCTGCATGCACAAGGAGTTACTTACCCAGTGTTACTGAGCACTTCTTGCCGTCTCTCTTGGTTTTCCACATGTCCTTCGTTCGTTCGACACCTATATCCCCCATGGTGGAAAGCGCCGATGCCGTGTTCGCGCTAACAGTGCCCGACAGTGCACATAAATACATGCACGAAGCGGTTTTAGCCCAGTTTTTCATGCCACGAATTTCAAATAAAAACGCCGTAATTGACCA